CAAAAGTGCCTTTGTACGGTTACAAAAGTGCCCCAAGGAATGTTACGAAAGTGCCTTACAATGTTACATTAGTGCCCTATGTTACAATAGTGCCCTTTTTGAGGTTACCAAAGTGCTCTAAAATGTTACAAAAGTGCCCTTGCGTTTAGCTCCCTCTCTCTGTTGCGGTTTGCAGTCAAGGCCAAGTGCTGAACGGTCCTTTTAAAGTGATTTATTTGCATGCCAGGAGAGCACTATTGACACCTTAACCAACCTAAAAGATTAGATGGGGTGCCCTTTACGTATTTAGGTTAGGTATTATTGACCGGCAATATTACAGTCTTAAACTGCTCCACTGCTCGTTATTATTAACCCTTTTAGTTCCAAGAATGACCAACCACAATTGTCCCCTACTAGTGTAAACCTCTACCAGTAGAGTCATAATCAACATTGATAGTTTTGAGAATTAAGTAATTGTTAACCTATTGAGAAAACGTGTACTGACCTTTATATGAATGCCCTTTGCCAATTCTTTTCATTTAGCAAATGTTTAAACATCAGGCTGGACTATTTTGAATGTGGGTTCTTGATCTTAGAGAGTCTACTGTAGTGCTCATTAGGGCTTCAAGGATAAATTAGATGTTGACAGTATTTGAATTGTATAAATGCAGAGTTTTACACAAGTTCTTGCTTCTTGCTAGCATAAACTAATCGCGAATAGATGAGCTTGGTCGCTCTAGCGCTAGGAGGAGGTATCCATGACAATCCCACAAGAGCCCCCCTCCCCCCTCCCTCCACACTGAACAACTAAAAAATGTCTGCTTTTTCATACAAATTCAATGCTAGGCACACTGGATTTCACAAGTTCAGAGCACTGGGCTCCTTCCATTTTTCCTACAGCACAGCCTTGCAGTGGAATGCTTACCAACCAACACTTACCTGCCCCAGACCTAAAGAGGGAGGTAAAAACACAGCACAAAATGGCAAGCAAGCAACAAGCTATTGACCACGCCAGAAAATACCATATCATAATGCTCTTTCTTTGTCACCCCAAAATGTTGCATAAGCATTGTTTTCAGTTTCATTTTAACTCCCAAGATAAACTGCTCTGGAGTGGTCAATTGCAACAACACTTTGCGAAGAATCAAGCAACTGCGTATACAAGTCACAAGGTGCCCCTGCTAGAGAAATATCCGATTTGCGAGTTCCTCCGGGCCTCTGTTTCAAAACGAGGGTAGTTGATCAGACTTTGACATGGGAATCCTTTTTCATTCTCATGGAAATAAAACTCATTTTCACAAGAAAGGTTGTGCATCTAGCGTCATTTTTGAAAGGGAGGGTGTTTGGAACTCAGAAGTGGCCTATTATATTAGATTTATTGATTATAACTTTTTTTGTTACTAAAAATCCCAATTGAGTCGCATTGTCCAGCATTACACTACAATATAGTAGTCCCAAGAGAATAACCGTTGGTTTTAAGTTGACAGTAGCACACACATAATATAAAATGTAAATTCATCCAGTAAATGAAAGTTTTGAGCATGGATCGGAGCCCAGTATCAAATTGTCATCTTTTAACGACAAATGGGAAATTTTATTGAAACCACGTGACAAGTCTTTCGGCCACGACAGCCACTGAAGCACAATAAGATGCGCATAAAATTGTTATATCTCTACTTTTCTCTCGAAATAAGAGATTTTGCAGTCGTAGGAGTAGTAATATATCTTTATTGCGCCTTACTCCTCAAAGGGAGGTATTGGTCTAGTTACAGTATAGTTTTTCATTACTACAACAACTTGTACAGAACATGAACGGAAACAACAAAATTATACAGCATATACCATTCCGATAACAATTATACTATAATTTAATTAACTAATCAATTAGTTTTTTT